TGTGGGTCTGACTGTGCCGGGTGAGATTGGACTTTCTGCTGAAGCGCTCACCGCAGTCCCCACAGACGTACGGCTTCTCCCCAGTGTGGATGCGGCGGTGCACGGGGAGGTGGGAGCTGCGACTGAAGCTCTTGCTGCACTTGTCACAGACATAGGGCTTCTCCCCAGTGTGGATGCGATGGTGCTGGGTGAGCTCACTTTGCCTCGTGAAACTCTTCCCACAGTCAGCGCAGGCAAAGGGCTTCTCACCAGTGTGGACGCGACGGTGCTCGGTGAGGTCGCGGGACCTCGTGAAATTCTTCCCACAGTCAGTGCAGCCAAAGGGATACTCACCAGTGTGGGTGTAGCGATGCCGGTTGAGTTGGGATTTCTGGGTGAAAGTCTTCCCACAGTCAGTGCAGGCAAAGGGCTTCTGACCAGTGTGGGAGCGACGGTGCTGGGTGAGGAGGTAGTTGTTGGTGAAACTCTTCCCACAGTCAGTGCAGGCAAAGGGCTTTTCACCAGTGTGGTTGCGACAGTGCTCCGTGAAGTTGGATTTCTTGGTGAAACTCTTCCCACAGTCAGTGCAGGTAAAAGGCTTTTCCCCGGTGTGGTTCCATATGTGCTGGGTGAGGCTGGACTTGTGGGTGAAGCTCTCACCACAGTCACCACAGACGTACGGCTTCTCCCCAGTGTGGATGCGGCGGTGCACGGTGAGTTGGGATTTCGTGGTGAAGCTCTTGCTGCAGCTGCCACAGGCAAAGGGCTTTTCACCAGTGTGGGTGCGCTGGTGAGTGGTGAGGCTGCTGTACATCGTGAAACTCTTCCCACAGTCAGTGCAGGCAAAAGGCTTCTCACCAGTGTGGGTACGGCGATGCACGGTGAGGTAGGATTTGTCAGAGAAGCTCTTGCTGCACTTGTCACAGGCAAAGGGCTTCTCACCAGTGTGGGTGCGACAGTGCTGGGTGAGGTAGTATTTGTTGATGAAACTCTTCCCACAGTCAGTGCAGGCAAAAGGCTTCTCACCAGTGTGGGAGCGGCGATGCATGGTGAGCGGGGCTATCTGACTGAAACTCTTCCCGCAGTCATTGCAGGCAAAGGGCTTCTCACCAGTGTGGGTACGGCGATGCGCGATGAGGTTGGATATGTTGGTGAAGCGCTTGCTGCACTTGTCACAGGCATAGGGCTTCTCACCAGTGTGGGTGCGGCAATGCGCGATGAGCTTGCTTTTCTGGGTGAAACTCTTCCCACACTCAGTGCAGGCAAAAGGATTCTCACCAGTGTGGGTGCGGCGATGCATGGTGAGCGGGGCTATCTGGCTGAAACTCTTCCCGCAGTCATTGCAGGCAAAGGGCTTCTCACCAGTGTGGGTGCGGTGATGCACGGTGAGGTGGGATCTCTGCCTGAAGCTCTTACCACAGTCACCACATATATACGGCCTCTTCCCAGTGTGAATGCGTTGGTGCTTGGTAAGGCTGGATTTCCAGGTGAAACTCTTCCCACATTCACTACAGGCAAAGGACTTCCTACCGGTGTGTGTCTTCATGTGCTGGGTAAGATGTGCCTTTTTGTTGAAGCTCTCACCACAGTCACCACAGACATATGGCTTTTCCCCAGTGTGGGTGCAGCGGTGCAGGGTTAGCAAGGATCTCTGAGTGAAGCTCTTGCTGCAGATGTCACACACATAGGGTCTCTCCCCAGTGTGGATGCGGCGGTGCTGGTTGAGTGTAGAGCTCTGAATGAAGCTCTTGCTGCAGATGTCACACACGTAGGGTCTCTCCCCAGTGTGGATACGACGATGCTTGCAGAGGGTGGACTTGT